GTGAATAGATAGAAAATGTAGAGCTACAAGCTGGTTTTCTGCTGCACAAAGCAGTGTTTCAATAGGGAATCCTTTGTTCACTGTGTAAATCCCCACGGCCTCCTGTTTAAGAGCTCAGCATGTCACTTGAGACTAAACGGCTGCTCACAAAAAAATGTAATTCAAATATTTTTCAAAATCCTCTCAGGTTGGACTCCTTAAGAAAAAGATCTATCTTTAGAAAAGCTACACTCTTAATTCTATTTTTTTTTTTTTATCTTAATCTTCGTAATAACAAAAACCTCTCAAATAAGTTACCCTTACCATATGCTACTGTGCTGACTTTCACCGTCTTCTCCACCTGAGGCCTGTCTCCTGTTCTTAAATATTTATGCAATGAGTCCAAAATGTTATGTATTTACCATAAAATTCAGTTTCATACACCTCAAACAATGACATGAAGTGTATACACAATGTGGGGAGGGGAAGAGCAGCAGGGAGTGAGAGGAAAGAGAGAACCTCTGAATCAACAGTATTTCCCACACATGGAAAATGTGGGAGATATTCTGGGCCCCTGGAGTATTTGGTTGGGCTAATGTGTTATTGGAACAGGACATCTTTGTGGTAAAACCTGACAATTTATTAAAAGTGCAGGATGAAGGGAAATTATAAAATGGAAGGAGATTTTTACCTTGTGCACGTGTCTTGTACTTTTATGCATAGGGTTTATATGGATATATTCATCATGTAGTATGTTATTGCTAGGTGTTCATGTAAGTAGATAAACTGAATTTAATTAATAGTTACTAATGAATCCACTTACTGTCAGAAAATGTAAATATATATTGGTTTCTAGTGGCATAATTTCTTTAAATATTAGTTTTTCTCCACGATAATCCCGAAGATAAAGACAAGAACCAGTTGAGAAGCCAGAAGTCATTATTATAAACTATATGACAACTTATCCATCCATCCATCCATCCAATATAATTCAAGTGAATTATATTTTGGCAATATATGTGATTTATAATGAAATATAGTAACAAAATAATTATAATAATTATTATAATATTATTATTATAATAATAATATAATAATTCTCTTGCACTTAAACACCAAAAGAACAATCTGTAATACCTGACACGGCGTTTACCACAGATAGGCTTTTCAATTTGAAAAAAAAAAAGACTGCATCTTTGGTGCAGACGCTTTAATTTATTATGGCTGTAGTAGTTTTTGGCTTTCCAGCTTTCTCTTACCTATACAGTAGCATTCAGTCTCTCAGTGTCACACACACTTTACCTGTCGATCTACATTTTGAAGCTAATGACTTCTGGGAGCCAGATGCTACCGTTTAACGAAAAAGCGTGGAGCGCTAAGCCAAGTAACACTAGGTAGCTAGGTTAGCATGCTGCGCTCATAGACGGTATAAAATATGCACATATGGCCATGGTAACTATGTACCTGTTGTTTCTGAAGTGCAGCTTTGAAGCCGTGAGAGTAGCGTTATTACAGTCACCATGTATAAAATTACAAAAGGGGGGGCATGATACTGTAAGAGCACTTGCTCATTGGCTAACAAATTGTCAAGCATAAGTCATTAGCCAATGAGTATACTATATTTAATACTCAATGTTAACTTCATTCTGCTCTGGAGGTTGGTCGTTAGTAGATTCTGTCTTTGTTCTTTAATGTCAATGGGCAAAAAGCTTATAGGTCCATAACCGCCACCCTTTGGCAATGCTAGCCTTATACAAACAAGGGGGAACATGCACTATATTTTTGACATTAAACTGTTTGCCTTTTTTATTTGACAAACATTCTGAGAAATATATCCAAAATCACTTAGAATTTTAAAATGATTGATTTAAAATAGGATCAATCTTGTGTTTAGCTTGAACTGAATGGTTTTTTTTTTTACCTTTCATTTCCCTTTCCTGTGCCTCATCATCACTCATCATCATCCCCGGAAGTGGCTGGCCATAAAAGGTGACATGAGCGCCTGCTCTGAAAGGGCAGCCACATGCACCACTACAAATCTTTCACCTTATTAAATATAGATCTATAGTCAACTACACCTGTGAAGCCAGTCTCACCTGAGCCAAGGTTACAATGACTGATGTTATTTTTAACCTCTTGTTTTGAACAGGAAATTGGGATCCCATGCGTTTGACAAGTTGTGTAAGTGCAGTGATGATGTATGCTGATAACAGTGGGTAAAAACAGTGTCCCTTGATTTTTCAGCCACTCACACCCTCCCACTCCTCATCGTAGTCTCTGCACACAGCAAGCACGCATCTCTTTGTGCAACATGTGAAATAGACTTTGGCATTAGAGCAAGTCTGGGTACTGGGCAGTGATGGCCGGGTGCATCTGGTGCATGATAGAGATGCAAGAGGCAAATATGCTTGATTTGCTGAATCGTGTAATTACACCTGCACCGCTGAGCTCCTCGTATTTCTTTTTTCATGAAAACAGTATTAAGTGAAATCATTCAGCTATTCTGTTTCCTCTTCGTTAAAGCCTGTCTGGTCAAGTTTCACTTTGTTTGAAATGAGAAATCAGAGAGTATTTGTTTGCTGTTTGTCACGCTGCTTAAAACATTTCATAGCATAACAGCAGGAACAAGGTGAGACAGCTTCACAAACATGACACGCGATACTTCCTTATCTTCGCTGCAGATGCTCGCCGAATGTGAATAAAGTTACAGAGTGAGAGTCGGAAGACATAGGCGTCTATTGGTTTTAGGTTTTAAGGGCTGACCTTGATCAAAGATCAACTGGGTGTCGGATTAAACCGTGGTTAGGGTTGTTGTCATGCAGAGATTAGCCGAGAGTGAGATTAGTCAGCACAAGCATATGTGTACCTTTGATGATTCACTTTAGGTTCTCCTTTTTTGCAGTAGGTTTTTTTTTTAATGTGAGAACCTAATTGCACTATGTCCGTCAGCAGGTGTTGCATTGTTCATCCAGAGACCATCTGGGCCTGTAATCCTTCGGAGATGAACACCAACATTGTGTGTGTGTGTGTGTGTGTGTGTGTGTGTGTGTGTGTGTGTGTGTGTGTGTGTGTGTGTGTTCATGTGTACCAAATGTATGGGACCTTTTGTACTTGTGAAGTCCGAATTGTAAAGTTGACCTTTTAGGGAGTAAACATTTATAATGAGCAGGCTCAGTGCTCCTGGACAAACTGTAGACATGATTCTTTGAACTATTCATTGTATCCGCTTACAGTTTTGGTTAATGTGCATTAGCTTATTGTCTTGGAGAAGAAAAAAGAAACACAAAACTGTGAAACA